ATAAAAAATATTACAAGATTAAGCGCGAATGTAATAAAATCTTGATAAAGAATAATATATAAATCAAAACAGATTTTTAAAAGTTCAATTTTTTAATTAAAATTAGAGTTAAATCTAGTGAAATACATATGATGAATTCTCATTAACGTTAACTATGGGCAAGAATGATATGGGCCATTTGGAAACTTATACCAAGACACATTATTATGTATACCGGTATAAGTTTCCAAACTTTATAGTTTATTTTCTTGAAAAAATAATAAATAAATAACGAGTAATTTCAAATAAATTTAAAAAGAATTCTTTAATACATTAAATTAATTAATAAAATATTTTTAAATTGTTTAAAGACACCGATTCAAAGATAAAAGCATTGCATAAGTTAACTGCATTAATTGTTAGTTAAAATAATAAATTTTTAACGTACCGGCAAGAAACCCACACTTTATGTACACTGAAATTTGCTTAAGGGAAACCCAGTTAACGGTTACCTCAATTTTTTTTTTCTAGTCCGAAGTATTTACTGTGCCAAACAATATCTATTACCTGACAGAATTCATATTGTTGCTCTCATAATTTAAGTAAATTTAGTTAATTTCTGTATTTAAAATTTCAGAATTTTTCGGGCGTTTTGGATACCTTTTACGTGATTTAAATGGTTTCTTCTGGCAATAACACATGTACGTTCTTTTATTATACAGTTATATTAAAGATTTTTATCTTTAAAATGCCAAAATATAAATTAACAATTATTTACAAGTAACGAGAATTGTTATTAGCGAGGTTGCGGCCAAAGTTTTCATCTCTAAAACGTAAACGTCGAACGTCGAGCGCCGCTTACAAGATAGTGACGCTCGACGTTCGACGTTCACGTTTTAGAAATGAAAACTTCGGCCGCAACCTCGCTAATGTCTTCGTCTATTTATTCAAAATAAAAAGAAGTTCGAATGTGTATTTACATAAATTGAAAAATTTCACAAATACATTGCAAAAATGTCGATGCTTCATAAGAGACTTTTTCTAAATCACTCTTTTTTTACATCTGAGAGTCGTTCTTATTATATCTATTTAATTATTTTATTTTGACATATTCCAGTGATTCTTTGAATAAAAAAAGTGCATTAAGAAACATAGATTGCAATCTTACAATGGGCAAATTTTAGGGTAAAATTGCATTTTAAAATATCTCATCTTTAATATGCAGTATTATAACATTATATATAAATAAGCAATAATAAATACTACTTATCGTTATTTATATTTAATTTGTTATCGTTGTTTATATGTAACGTTTAATATAAAAAAAAACATATAAAAAGAAGTCTAATTTGTTTCTGTTTCTATCAGAATTTTTAAATAAATGTTTTAATGTTAAGAATATATACATATATATATATTTAAGGGGAGGTCGATAAGTAATTTTTCTTTTTTATAAAAGGGGCCAATACATGAAAGATTTTTGGAAACCCCTGTTTACAATATATAATCCCATATTTTTTTATTGTAATGCTTCATATACACACAAAATATCACTTCAATTGTACATAAAATGTTAAATTAATGATATTAACAATCTTCTTTTCAGTTTTTAAAATACAGTATATTCTTCTTACTCCTTTGTCTTTTATAAGCGTTATAATGTACGAATGTTATATTATTTTGTTTAAAATATATAAAATTAAGGATAGGTTTATAAAAGCTATAATAATTATACTTACATGATGATAACTGGATAACTTACTTACATGATGATAACATGATTTAATTTATAACTTCATATAAAGTTCTTACAAGCATCTCGTACTTGATGGATGCAAATGCTACCGGTTAATTAATACTTAAAGCTTATTCGGCTCTTTTAACAGTTTATTCTTTGATAAATAAATAACTGTAATGAATAAAAATCTTTTACATTAATTTTTAAAACTATCATAAACGTTTTTAACGTAATTTCGCGTCAAAAATATTTCTATTTTTTTTTTCTTCTTTTTTTACATAAATATGAATCTAATTAACAGATTATATTTCATAGCAGACTCTGTATTAGTTAATCGTATTTCGAAAATATGAAAATGATCTTTAAATCCGATTAACGTTACATTCATAAACACGAAACATTGCAACCCCATTGTCTAGACTGAATCCACACTTTTGCCCACTTTTTTCGTGTTTATGTGGGTTGCCAGTCATGAAATATATCTATTTTCCTAATTATTGAGCCATGAGAAATCGGAGCAATATGTCAACTGGCCTAATTTTTCTATAATTTTGTCTTTTAATGCTTTAATCATTTGTCAACTTTCCATCTAGAAAAACAAATAATAATAATAAGTTCATAAATAGTTGAAAATCAAAAACAATAATCCTGTACTTTAAAAATTTAAATAATTTATATTACAAATTGTAACGTTAAGATGATATGTTCAATTGGTAGAATTGTTTTACTTAATAAGAGAAAGTGTTTATATTGACTCGAAAATCAGGAATTTCTTTTAGAAAATCACTTTGTAAAAATTTAACATGACCATCATTAAATAAGATTATTAATTGACGTTAAAAGGTAAATAATAGAAAAATTATTTGATCTTAAGAATTGTATCGCGATAAATTTTCCACTGTTTTCAAGGTTAGATTATTTTAATAAAGTTTTACCTCTGCTTTAAAAGGTAAAGGATCTTAATACGTAATAATTAAATAATTACAACAGATATTTATCATACAAAAAAGGTCGAGAAACGTGATGCGTATACACTTTCTAACCCTTATGTTCAATAAACACAGAAGCAGCATATATGAAATGTATATTACATCATCCTCCTCTCGTTACAATAATGATTATTTTAAACAAAAATTAAATTATCCGGATGGCCCGAGATACTAATTAATTCGGAAAATTGCAACTTTAATGTATTGTTACGCTAATAAAGAAAAATATTTAAAAATTTACCTCTATACTGTTCACATTCATTACAATTTAATTGATAATCCTTGAACGTGTTTACAAGAGGATAGAATTATTGGATTACCTCTACTACTAGTAAATTAAGCAGAAAATTATTAAGATTTTAATGATTATTATAATTAAAATGTAGTGGAATAACTTTACATAAACTTATTTTATGTTTAAAAAATAATAATAATAAAGATTTGGCGTGTTTGCTTAAAATAAATTTATGGAATATTAATGCAAACTTTTCTCGATTTATGAACATTCTCCGTAACGAACTGTACGTCATATTTAACACGTTACAATGAGATTTTTAATTTAAAAATGTAGCCTTCTAGTAGCCAAGTGGATAAAAACCACTGGGCGATGATGGTTCGTGCCTCACCAAAGGATTGCCGATTGACATTTTCCCTGTTTTAACACCTAAATAGAAACCAGTTGAACATAGAAGATCCCTATAAACACCTCTTGACAGATCATCCAAGTGTTACTTTGTCTTATTCCATCAATACAATGAACTGACTGGAAAATGTGGACTCTGAATCAAATAATGAAACTATCGACGGGTAAAGCTTATTAACATTAAATAAGTGTACTACTACATCTTTTTATATTACGTAATTAAAAGTTATTAAATAATGATAAAAATGGTATAAGGAGCCACACCCCTAGAAACTTTATACCCCTAGAATCTCATAAAATTTCTATGGTAATTGAGAATCGCTGAACAACAGCAAATATTTTAAAAAATAATAATTGTTTTAGTGAATTAACATGTAAATTAGTTGTAACATTGATCATAAAATTTAAAGATTTGTTTTAACTAATTCTATACAATTTTTAAGTTTTACATAAAATCTGAATGCCTTTTTTAAGTTTTATAATACCTTCTTTAATGTATTATATAGTAGAGGATGGACTTCCATCCTCTGTTATATCTGCTATATACCACTACACTGATTCCATTTAATATTAAACTATAATGCTGAAGAAGAAGAAGGATATTTATTATCAAAAAGTTTATTTAAATACTTTTTGTAAATTTTTACTTTCATCTTCAATAAATTACTTAATGAATCGTGTCCATAATCGTAAATTTTCCAAAGGATGTTCTCAATTGATAAATTGAATAATTTATTTGTTAATTTATGATAAAGTTTATAGCAAACTACCGTATTTATTGGCATATAATACGCAATTCTTTTCCCAAAAATACTGTCTAAAAATGGAATCCATCTTATAATGAAGGACATGAGTCTTATCATGGCTGCTAGATGGGCACAGATGCCTAGATTTCTAAATTCTAGGCTANTGCTTGTGTATAACTGTTATGTAATATAATTATGTAAACTAGATTATTTTACCTTTGCTTTAACTTTTTTAAAATCAAATATTAAATATAATTAATTAAATATGTGTCGAAAATATACTTTTTTTTATTATAAATTTAACTGTTTGTTTACTGTTATGTAACTGGAATTGATTAAACTGAGTGTATATATAGCTAATAAACGATATCTTTTATATGATAAAAAGATCATAATTTAATTATATAAATGATTAAAACCGTAATAGCATCAATGGAAGTAAAACAAACAGTGGTTAAAAGCTTGAATTGATTAAACTGAGTGTATATATAGCTAATAAACGATATCTTTTATATGATAAAAAGATCATAATTTAATTATATAAATGATTAAAACCGTAATAGCATCAATGGAAGTAAAACAAACAGTGGTTAAAAGCTTGACGTGATAAAAAAAAAGGTGAAAGTTTACTTCCTACTTGTTGAAATAACACCATCTGAGAAGAAATGCCTGTATTTTTTTTTTTTCTTTCCTTTTTTAAATTTTAATCTTAGACTCCCCTTATAGATAATGTAGGGCGGCCACGCCTGATTCAATACTTTATGCTCAAGAACTGTGAAACGAAAAGCAAGCGTTTCCGTATGGTCGACTGATGTCCCACATACTGTCACTATTACGTGATGGCTAATCGAGATACAAGTAAGGGGGACACAATGATACAAAAAAAAATATAACCTTATGACCCAATGGGTGCAGCCTCTACCTCTCGACTATATAAACAACTTGGCACTCGTGCATTAGCATTAATTGCGGCTCAGGTATAGAAGTAATCACAATGTATAGACATTTGGTAAGTAATCGATATACTTTAGAATAAAGGTTTAAGGGTTTGCTTGATATTCATTTGTTGATGTTTTGAATTTTTCAGTTCGTACTTTTGGCTGCCTTCGTGGCAGTTTATGCCGAAATGGACGATGAGACTGATTTAAGTGCCGATTTTACTGCAGCTATACCAGTTGGAGGAGGAGTCGGACACGGTGGAGTCGGTCACGGAGGTGCTGGTGGACTCGGAGGTTACGCCGTCCACGGTTTGCATAAAGGTGCCATCGGAAAACAAGCCTACGGTGCACTGGGACACCAAGCACATGGACACGAAGGTGTCGGCGCCTACGGTGCTCACGGTCTGAAGAAAGGTTTCGCTGAAGGTGGTTACGGTGGTCACGCCGGTCACGGAGCCGTTGGAGTCCAGGAAGGAGCATATGCTGATCACTACAAAGGTGGTCACACAAAGGCTCTCGATAAAGAAAGGTTATACGCTTTAGATCAAGCCTACGGACAAGGTGGCAAGGCCGCCTACGGATTAGGCTATGGACATCACGGAGCTTATGGCGCTCACGGAGGTTACGGAGCCGAAGGAGGTTTGGCAGGATATGGACAAGGTGCCTATCAAGGCGGAAAAGGATACGGCCAAACCACTGTCGGAAAACAGGGAGAACATCTCGGCGCTTACGGTCTCAACCAATATGGTGCTGTAGCAGGCAAAGGTGGAGCTGCAGGATTAGGTGGAGCCGGGTACGGAGGTCTCGGAGGTCTCGCAGCCCCTTATTATGGTTAAATCAATGCATGCCAATAAGTCCATCTACCAGTCAACAAACGTTCCAATCATGTGAAAATCGTCCGATCATCGACATTTGGCTAGAATGGATGATACCGGATTTCAAAATCTCATGCTTTTATCTGGTTTTAAAAACCATCCTATTAAAAACATATGTTCAAATGTACATTCATAAGAAAGATGGTTAACAAAGATCAAAAATAAATTATTTATTAAATTATACTTGTTATTTCATTTATTTTAATACAACATATATTTGATCCTCAATATCAATACTATAGTTTTATTTAAATTATATCTAAATTTCAACACAGAAAATGTAATAATAAGCATTAACTTTAACTTAAAACTCTGATTAAATTCAACAAGTGAAGAAACAGAATAAACTTTATAAAACTACAGTAGAGTCTCTATAGTCCGTCACTCGCCAGTCTAACACGTCCAGTAATTCGTAATTCGACACTCCGCCGCAAGACGGCGCAAATGTAAGTTTCGTGTTACCATTTCGTGTATGCAACAATGAGAGACTGATTACAGTACGTGTATACTGTCAGTCGCTAGTTGTTTGTTGCGCTTGCAGTAGGCAAACAGTTACAGTCGTGATTTAATACAATAAAATAACTTGTGAACCAAGTGCATTTATTGTACAGTACAGTACATACGCACATCCAAAATCCAATAATCCGCCAGTGTAGTAAATGTCGGATTATAGAGACTCTACTGTATTATCAATAATAACATAGATACATGTTATTAACTTAATAAAAGTATTTTATATAGGCATATATATTTTTAAACACTATTTCATCCCATGATTTATTATATAAATATAATTACAGATAATGCATTTTATGTTTTATTGAATAAACAATGATATAACTGATTTTGATAATTCTAAAATTATTTATTATATTCCTTTAAATCTATATATATATATATATATTTACTTTTATATTTATCTACCAAACTTGAATGTCTAATGTTTAAACTTGTTGAGTTACATTTCGTTTTTTTTTTTTTTTGTATAGAAATTATATTTTATTTTAAAATATAATTTTAAAATTCGTTTTAGCAGTGGTTCTTATAGTATGGTCCGTGACAGTGATGCCAACTTAGGAGTTTTGCCTTCTAAATTTAGGAAAATATCAGCAGGATAGAGGGAAACTTAGGGGGGGGAAATTTAGAGAGAAAATGTAAAGTCTGCCCATATTGATTAGTGGAGTTCCAACGATGAAAAGGAGCTTTTAAAAGTTATGACTCATGAATGTTCTCACGCGAGATCCTGTGTAGGTTGCTTCATTATGTACTACTTTTTCTCAATTGTATCCACTCTGCCTTCGCCCTAAAGTGAAAATTCGTTTCTCTGGATTGTTAAAAGACTAATATTTTTTTAATATGCATTGCACATAGAGCAAAACTATATCCCTAAATGGTTTTGATAAATAGGGAAAACTTGTTTCAGTTTTTAGAGGAACTTTGATAGTTTTAGGGGAAATTTTAAGTCAGTTTAGAAATTTTACGACAGAGGTTGGCAGCGCCATCATGATTAGGCACTAATGAAAAAAAAAATCAAACAACGAGTTGCTTAACTTTCCAGGCAACATTTGGTGACGCCACCTGTTTGTTATCATATTTTATTTAAAAACTTTTTATATTTTTAACTATTATAAAATGGCAGAACGCTTAACTTTGAGGGTAGGAGTGGGTTAGTAAAAAATATGTATATAAATGCTAGTAAAATCGTCATTAAGTCTGATCCTAATGAAGATACACACGACCCCCTTTAGCTCCCGAGCCCCTCGACCTTTAACCACCAAAATTTTATGTTGTCAGTCTGCTCAATACACAAACCTCGTTGCAAAATTTCAGAAATTTTCGATAAAAAGCATAGGAGTTATTAAGCTTCAAATAGGGTGAAAAAAAATCGTGCCCCTACACACACTAACATCAAATCAAAATGTACAAATTTGTTTACAGACAAATGTTATTACACAAACATACAGAAATATACTTAATTGAAATATAATTTTATCATATTACATTAATAAATTCCAGTTGCCGTCTGTTCTTACGACCTCCTAATTGATTCCTGGAAGACCATTGTTTGGTCAGAAATTGTAAAATGAGACGTCTTATTTCCTATACGCTTAGTGTCATTAATTGAGATTACATTCTTGGAAATATATTTTTAACTACGTAATACTAAAATATTATAACATCAATTTAAATGCGATATGCAGTCATAACAGAAAATTTACAGCAATCGTTAAATATGGTCTACTAAGTTGGAGTCGTCCATTAATTACGTGTACAATTTAAGGGGGATAGTAAAAGTACTTAATTATATAAAATGGGGAGGGAGAGAGTTTAGGCATTGTCTATTTGGACTATTTTAGTGAGATAGGTGACATCTTATAAGCCTACTTACTAGTTATGTGACTAAACTATCAGTTAGAAAATATTAGCGAAATATTTATTTATTTCTTCAATGCCAATGTGGGTCTATGAACTGTTGTACACATAAGTAAAGGAGAAGAGGTTTTCCAAAAGTACAGTAGACCCTCTATAACACTGTTGATAATTCCGTGTTATATGAATTCCATGTTGTACGAGTCACTTAGATTTTACAAATACGTGTGCCAGGCTGCGAACGGCTCACGTATTTGTAAAATCTAAGTGACTCGTACAACATGGAATTCATATAACACGGAATTATCAACAGTGTTATAGGGGAGTTTACTGTACTTCATTATACACAATAGAAAAGAAAGGTTCAAAAACTGTACACGTAATTAACGAACGGCACCGCTATACGTAATTTATTAAAAGTTTAATGTCCTAATTTAAATTTAAATTATTAATATTCAAGGAAAGTATTAATACACGAAAGAAAAACTTCATTTATCGTTGTATCTATTATAAATCACTCTTATAACCTTATTATTTCCTTCTATTATTAAATTTTTCTTCTTAATATGTCCTCTGTTTATATATTTTCATATTAAAATATTTAAATATAAATTAATTTTTATTAATGTTAAGTAATAAAGCTTTTTGTTACAATAATTCATATAAAGACTACAATATTATCTGAAAAGACATCAAAGTCGTTTACTTATCTCTTTTACCTAAGTAATTAAGTTAGAAATTTTTACTGCTATTTTAATTAAACATTAATCTCAAGTTCTTTCTACAATATGCTTTTACAATATCTAACTTTTTAAAATAGACTTTTTTCTTTTTATTTTTTGCCCCTTCTTGATGATCCATTGATGACCGAGCGAACACAACCACCGAACACCGTTCGTAGCTGACCAACGGGCTGGCCACGTGGAATTTTGTGAGTATCTTCACATATCTAACACCCAAACAGGACCAATTTCCAATGAAACACATCTCGAGAGGCACTTCTCTGTTGGCAAGTTGCCCATGTTCCATCACTCCACTCCACACTACATGTTAGTGAAGAATTATGTTAATTTCAATGTTAAATCTTTATACGGAATAAATAAATTTATTTATATTATTAATAAGAATGTCACTATGTTAGACTATTGTAAGTTAAGCCATACAAGGATGCCCACAGGGTTTACGTTTCAAGGGAATTGATGCTTAAATCAAATAACCAATTAGTTAATTTACTAAAATTATGTTCCTTAAATAGATTTATCTCTAATTATATTATCTTCACTTATTTTCATGAGAATAGACAATAAACACGTGTAAAAAAACAAGCGAAAAATCAAATTACGCAATTGTCTCTCCTGATCCCACGCTGTGGGAGCACTTGCTGCTATATAAACGTGCATGATTTATAATAATTAAAAAAGTATAAAATCTATTTTATAAACACATACTTTTTATACTTAAAACAGATATTTTCAAAGAAATAAGTCTAAAAAAAGTCAACAATTTTTACTTTCCTAGCTGTTATATATAACAAAGTAAAAGTTTGGCCATCGGTCAAAAAATGGCCCCTTCCTCCAAGATTTTTATATTTTTGGATTCGGGAGGTCTTGAGACGTCCAGAAAAGCAAAAAGTTAATGGTATTTTTCTGTATGTATGGATGTTAGTGCATGTGTTGTGGGGGAACACGAGTTTATTCATTCACTTTAAAGCTTAATAACTCCTGTGTATTTTGTCGAAATTTTCTGAAATTTTGCAGAGAAGTTTATGTATTAGAGGGATTGATGCTATTAAATTTTCATGGTTAAAGGTCTATCGGGTGGGGAGATAAACGAGATTGTGTGTCATATCTCGAGTAGGACTTAATGAAGATTTTACTCATTATTAGCATTTACAATTTTTTTTATTATAAAGCTATTGTCGAAATTAAACTTTTTACCATTTTATAATAATTATATTAAAAAAAAATGTTTTTAATAAAATATCAGAACAGATCAATTTAAATGTTGTTGCCGGGAAAGTTACTCAACTCGTTTCTGGATTTTTATACAAGACGTGTTAACGATGTTTTAAATCTAATTATTATTGTGGTGAGATCAATTATATCATCAAGATGTTAATTTTAATCATTTTTAAACGTGTTTTTATTATTTCATATATTGATATCTTTAATAATGGCCTCTAAAAGGAATTCAAAAATTCGTGATTAAAATTTTGCATTTTATTTTTGTTGGTAAAATAAAAAAGAAAAATAAATCTTTCTTTCAAGTCTTTGGTTTCTGTTACAAATTATAATACACAATTCGAATCATTAAATTTTATTGGAATTTTATACTTTTTGTAAAGAAAAATATTTAAAAATTTACCTCTATACTGTTCACATTCATTACAATTTAATTGATAATCCTTGAACGTGTTTACAAGAGGATAGAATTATTGGATTACCTCTACTACTAGTAAATTAAGCAGAAAATTATTAAGATTTTAATGATTATTATAATTAAAATGTAGTGGAATAACTTTACATAAACTTATTTTATGTTTAAAAAATAATAATAATAAAGATTTGGCGTGTTTGCTTAAAATAAATTTATGGAATATTAATGCAAACTTTTCTCGATTTATGAACATTCTCCGTAACGAACTGTACGTCATATTTAACACGTTACAATGAGATTTTTAATTTAAAAATGTAGCCTTCTAGTAGCCAAGTGGATAAAAACCACTGGGCGATGATGGTTCGTGCCTCACCAAAGGATTGCCGATTGACATTTTCCCTGTTTTAACACCTAAATAGAAACCAGTTGAACATAGAAGATCCCTATAAACACCTCTTGACAGATCATCCAAGTGTTACTTTGTCTTATTCCATCAATACAATGAACTGACTGGAAAATGTGGACTCTGAATCAAATAATGAAACTATCGACGGGTAAAGCTTATTAACATTAAATAAGTGTACTACTACATCTTTTTATATTACGTAATTAAAAGTTATTAAATAATGATAAAAATGGTATAAGGAGCCACACCCCTAGAAACTTTATACCCCTAGAATCTCATAAAATTTCTATGGTAATTGAGAATCGCTGAACAACAGCAAATATTTTAAAAAATAATAATTGTTTTAGTGAATTAACATGTAAATTAGTTGTAACATTGATCATAAAATTTAAAGATTTGTTTTAACTAATTCTATACAATTTTTAAGTTTTACATAAAATCTGAATGCCTTTTTTAAGTTTTATAATACCTTCTTTAATGTATTATATAGTAGAGGATGGACTTCCATCCTCTGTTATATCTGCTATATACCACTACACTGATTCCATTTAATATTAAACTATAATGCTGAAGAAGAAGAAGGATATTTATTATCAAAAAGTTTATTTAAATACTTTTTGTAAATTTTTACTTTCATCTTCAATAAATTACTTAATGAATCGTGTCCATAATCGTAAATTTTCCAAAGGATGTTCTCAATTGATAAATTGAATAATTTATTTGTTAATTTATGATAAAGTTTATAGCAAACTACCGTATTTATTGGCATATAATACGCAATTCTTTTCCCAAAAATACTGTCTAAAAATGGAATCCATCTTATATGAAGGACATGAGTCTTATCATGGCTGCTAGATGGGCACAGATGCCTAGATTTCTAAATTCTAGGCTAAAATGACAATCTTAAACGTACATTATTTTGATGTCTAGAGCAATTATGGGCGAATTCCTGGCAAATTTTCACTTTTCTGAAAAAAATATTACTAAAATTGCATATAAATATGAGAATTTAGCTAAAAACTTTCCAAAATTTAGTGCAAAATGAGTGTGAAAGAAAACATTTTTGGGCGTAAGACAATGAAAACATCTGATCGCCCTGAGTCTTGTAAGTATGTACTGTACCAGTTTGCATTTCTTAACAGTTGTAACATCTGCAATGCATTTCGCTTGTAATGTTGCATAAAGTGCACAATAAATGAGTTTGTAAATTGACTGATGTGATTCGTGGATTACTTGTTCACACATTTACAAACCTAGTGACTCACAAAATTTTTAAACTAGAGTATGATCTGATTAATTAGATTAATTATTGTACGAATAAAATAGTAAAATGCTTAATTTTGACAGTAGAGATGAGTTTGATAACAAAAAAAAAAAAGAAATGTAAATGATAATAACTGGGAAAATCTTCATAAAATCCGACCTTAATCGAGATATAATACGTGACCTTCTCGCCCTCTCTATCTTTAATCATAAATATTTAACAGCATCAACCCTCCTAATACACAAACCTCCTGATTAAATTTCAGAAATTTTAAACAAAAGGCACAGAAGTTATTAAGCTTCAAAGTGGGTGAACAAAATCGTGCTCCCTCCATACTCACGTAAACATCCATAATACAGGAAGAGAAAAAAACCCGAATTTCTCTTGCATTTCTCGACGTTTTAAAGTCCCCAAGTCCAAAAATGTAAAGACAAAAAATAGGAAGATACTAAAGTTTAAAATGGTTGAAAGATATTTTATTTACAAAAACTTTTTTAACTACAACAAAATGCGCAAAGGCTTTAATTGTTTATGTAGATATCGATATAAAATTTAATGTAAATGCAATAATAAACAATACTTATGTATATATCCGGCTTGACAATTATGATAAACGTTAATTAACTTCATCATCATTAATATATTCTTTTATTTAAATCTGTATTGATTAAAATCGTCATCATATACAACGGTTGGTTTGAATCCGTTTTGTTGAAAGTTCTGTTGATAATTTGGTAAGAAATGTGTAGAAATATCTCCATTGTGTTGAAATTGCTGATGGAATGGGAAAACACTAGCTAAGCTGTTTTGTTTACCCGGTTTCAATGAAGGAATCTGTACCTTGGGCGAGATAAAGGCACCGCCGCCATAATGGCTACCTGGTATAATTTTAATGGGTAGAGCTGCTATCGGTTGGTGAATTCCTCCCAAGGATTGTCCTTTATAATTAAAAGGATATTGCACAGGAAATGGAATATGTGGATAGGCACCGTGTTGAGGCAATCCAATAACTTTAGATTTGGCATTAAATGGGATGTCTCCGAGTTTAGGAGCTTGAAGGTGAGGTGGAAAAAATGCTAATGGATTAAATCCGGCCGTATTCGATAAAGGTTGCGGATGAAGATCTCTTGTTGGTTGAGTTGGTGCCGGTGCCAATAATATCGGTACAATATTTGGTGGTAAACCTCGAGGGAGAATGGGTTTACCTCTAATAGTTGGAGCAAAATAAATAGGAACCACTGGAGGATATCCCGATTTCAAATGTGGAGCCAAAAATAATGGTACGGGAATCGGGTGAGGTTGAGGTGAAGGCGTCGATTTTTCTTTCTGATCATCAGATGGCGATGGATTATAAATAGGCGATGGAGTATAAATGGAACTTCCGTAGAGAGGTGGTTTTCCTAGCATATAGAAACTACCTTGATTATTATTGTCGTTGTTGTTACCGTTTGTAGCGCTACTGCCCGTTGGATTGTGGTTTTGATTATTCGATTTCGGTTGGGTATTCAGCAAAGAAAATAAATTATGGTTCGAATTGGTTGTTTGCAGTTTTTCTTCTTTCTTGGAATCACTCTTATCTTTCTTAGATGTGGCTAAGAAAGCTGGCGATTTAGTAGCCTGGACATCGATGACTAACGCCAAGATGAAGAGAAAATGAACAACCTGTAAAATAATCCATTATTAATTATTTCTAGCCTCTATTCTACTTAATCTAGAAGTTATATTTATGAAAATAATTTAATAACAAACCCCTTTTACTATAAATATAGCCTAAATGATGCCGCGTATTTTTCTCATGCCATATTCTTGCATGCATTTGACAATGATGATTGACCTCCTTTAAAATCAATGAGATCCGGAATGTGACCCACTTAATTAATAAAAATTACTCCGTTTATTTTTGTTACAATAATATTTTGTCACCCGAATGCAATAATTAGGTTAAGTAGTGAGAAAATTGCTAATTGATTAAATGTTAAACTAAACTATTTTTCGATACTTTAACCCCTCCTAAAATTTTTATTACGATATAAAACGTAGAAACATATTAAAAATGAAAAAATGGAGATGGTTGGATGCTTTATTGTAACAGAAAACTGGCGTAAAAAGTAGGAAAATGTGAGAAAAAAAACAAGAGAAAGTCGATACTAGCCTAGATTTTATACTTATTTTGTTATAATAAATTAATTGCTCATTATTTTCTTATAAGGTACGAAGCTTCTCTTTATTACCAACTGTGCTAACTCTGCCATAACAGAAAACTAACTCACGTTCTATTAAATTTTCGAGGGGAGGTCCACAAACAATATTACATCGTATTGTTTTTAGATTATGATTTTAAAAAGTATATTCGTGTGTACTATTTTTAATTTCCGATCTAAATGTTAATACTTTCTGTCTTATACATAAAATTAAAAATTCTAATGAAACTTGTGTGGTTAGTCTATGTATAAATAAAACTCAAAATATGTATTTACGTTAGATAAAGGGTACAAGGATTCTATACCATTCGAATTTGGCATGGATTTTTTTTCTAAGATGTCGAAGCTCAGAATACTGCCAAAAAAACATGCTTAAACATGTTTAAACAGAGCAATTTTTGTGTTTTTCCATTTAATTATTGTAAATATTTAGGTTAATAAATGTACATTTTAGTTACTAAGACCATTTTTATATCCTCTGACCAATTTTCCACCCTCTTAAAACTCTTACACACGCAGTCAGTTCCTTCTAAATAAAGTAATTAATTCCGAATAAACAGTATCTATTATTATATTGTCGAGCAATTGATACACTTTAGACAAGTTTACCTTTATTATATTACCTAAGAAACAATGAGAGGAAAAAATGACGTTATAACGATTTTACATAAACCAAATTAAATAATATTTATGAGAAAAAATAAAGGATAATGTATAGAAATTTTATACATTATCCTCAGGGATCTAAAGCCATAAAATAATTTTAAAAAAAATAAATTTGTTATGACTTGCTAGTAAATAATAATTTACAAGAATTAAAACTGTATTTTTAAATATCAATTTATAACACTTAAATAGTTAATAGCTCATTCTTTATACAGTAGATTCAATGTGCCTCGGGTTTATAACGAAAATAGATCGTGTATGAACTTTTATAACTTCCGCGTGTTTAAGGTATTAAAAAAAAAAGAAAATTAATGATTTTACATCGTTACATACAAGTTTAATTACATTTATAAATTTTGTTAAGGAAATTTTGTGAGAAAGTAAATGGATATCTTAAACTGCAATTAAAAGTTTATACATTAAACTGTAAATAATTTAACTGCGTGAATTTTTTACAGTAAAAACTAATTAATGAGATAAAGAACTAATTACGCTCCTTTAATTTAAGTCAAACCTTATTATAATTAAAGATAAACTTTCCTATATCGGTTTCGTATTTAACTAAGTTAATTAGAAAATGAAGATTTTTATCGTAAAAAATAAGCTTAAATTTTACATAAATATCATTCTCGTTTTAATAATTAAACTTCCAAACACGATTAACCCCAAAGATGTTTATGATTTTAGAGGAATTTTGATATAAGAGCATTTTTAACGTTTAAAGAGACGATTAAAATAACCCAAAAACTAATTAAATATTTAAATAAAATCGAANAAATAACTTTAGAAATCAATAACGAAATCTGTATGTAAAATAATATCCTAGAATACGATAATCGGTTTTGTTGAAACTTTTGACGAACTTGCAACATGGTATCGTTCTCTATTCTCCCCCATTAATCGACTCCATTGGCGATTTACTTTAGCGGGAGAAATTTCATCCAGCTATATAATGTTTAGCCTAATAACTCTTGCATCGAAATTGTAATAATTAATTAATCAATACATATGAATCGCTAAATCGTAAACCGAGGGATCTTGAATCATCTAACTTGATGACTCGATGAATGATATATAGTCTTCCGTTAATTTTAAAAGAACTTGTAACCCAGAAAGCATCTACTTTAAATCGAAGAGGAACATAACTGTCCGAAATTAATTAATATTTAATAAAATAGAACAGCCAAAAAAAAGGGTCGCTTGGTGTTCAAGTGAAAACATTTCCCAAAGGGTGTGATAAGAAGTCCTCACACTAGAAGCCGATCTAGAAGGTTAATACTCTTGTGATCAAAAAACATCGGGAATTGTTCAATAAAACCCAAGATTTGAATTTATTCATCAAAATTTATTTCGTTTCCTTTAAAGTAATCCCCACTTATTGCAATGCACTTATGCCAATGTTTACTCCACTCCTCGAAGTATGCTTTAATGTGGTTTTCGTGAAATCCCTTCAGACTATATAATAAGTAATTTATATGTACTCACTTGTAGGACCAACATGATTGTAAGCTGTTGTATGAGTTCTCAGCTTGTTCAAGATGTAACTGATGCAGACCAGAGCGTTGAGTCTCTTAAATACAGGAGAGCCCCCTTGGACGATGCACTCTGTACGTTCTATTCTGAGTAGTTGTTATAATTACATTCGACCCATTGTATTGTTTGTCAATTCATTTCCTTAGCAAGTGAGACGTGGCTGTTGGTAATGAGGTGGTTGTTGTTTATGGTACGCATACACGTCATACTAACGTAGGAGGAGAAGCATACCTCTTGTGTGATTCGGCTCGAGTTTTAAATCTCATATGAATAGTGGGAAGATGTGATACTATTGACATACTAAAGAGCCTTTGTTTCATAAACTCGGTTGATTGAGAACGCTTTCGAGTCACGAATTTTAATTTAAAGAGGTTAAACTCGCGATAACTTATTACAAATAGTAAAGATTATAGGGATATGGCGCCTCTAGATCCATAATATTAGCAGGCTTTCCCTTAAATTAATGCAAATAATTCTATTTTATAATTTTAATTCTTCAATAATTGTAATTTTTACGGAGTTTTAATGATCGAAAGGTCAAAGATCACTGCTATTTTAAATCCATTTAATGATGAGTTTTTACAGCTATGTATTAATACAACTCAATTGATATTTTGTCCCTATTTAAGCTTTCAATTTAAGCTAATTCCTTTATGAATTACCTTTAAAATTAATTATTATTTTGAATTTTTTTCGCTCCCAAACTCTTGCATTCCTAGACCCGAGCCCGATGGGGTTAAATTCCATTAAAGAATTATTTTATTGTAATTAATGATTATAAATTTCATTCTTTAAATTATTAATTTTAAATATAAAAGTATTAGAATTATAATTCTTAATAATTACATTTGTCAAAGTTCAAAAACATGCTCGTAAATTTGATTAATTTAAGTAAAATTCGAGCACAAAATTATTTATTTTTGATTCGTTTATCAGCTTTGTTTTTATTTAAAAAAATAAATATAAGCGTTTAATATGTATTTTTTTAAAATAATTTTTAAATTACTCGAAACGGATTCTAGAGAATTTTATTTGACGAAATTAACACAAAAGTTCTTGAAATAGAAAATTTTCAAGAATTTCTCAAAAATAACTTTCTTGCATAATTTTTAATTAAATGTAATTGCATATTTTAAGTTAAAATTTTAAAATATATAATTCTATTTTTATACCTTTTATCGGCTAATTCAAGCGAGCTATGATTAGTTTGAAATCCAATATTTTCTTCCTCATTCTATACTCATATAACTCATTAATTAATTTATATAAAAAAAGCTACAATATAATTAGTTTAAATTACTATTAATTTCTTTTATACATTTTAAAAATCTTATAAATAATATCAATATAATATTTTATAGGGAAATATTTAATAAATAAAATAGTTTAAAAATAGTCGTAGGTCCATTAGAGTGGATTAAACCACTGAACAATAGAAGTTGGTCGTGGGTTCATGCCTGACCACGTGGAGTTTTCCAGATTTTTTTCACGTTTGTAACACCTAAATAAGGGCCAGTTTCCCTTAGAAATTCCTCCAGGGAAGGACCCCCTTAGGTAGATCGCCACGTGCCTTGTTACCTTATACAAACAAATAAAAATAATCATGTTTTGTTAGACTGTGACAATATCATACGACTTCGAGTCGATCGCGCTGCTCATTAATTGGTAAGCCAGTTTAATATTTTAAATATCTTTTCGTTCTGCAGGCACTAAGAGGGCCTTTTCCTACATCCATCCTGTTTGGCTAGGCCTCTAATAATGCGAGAAGATAATGAATAACTGGGCCCTAAATATACGAGTCAAGCCATGAAACAATTTTCATATTTAAATGTAGAGTGAATCCTCTAGTTTATAATCACAATCAAACAAACAGAAGAGTCGAATGTATATTATCATCACAATGCCAGCATACATAGAGACCTCACTATATAAGTATTTATATTTTAAATGTTAATTTTTAAACTCTTTTTTGTTTTATAACGAAATGTTAACACGAATGCATATAAATTAATTCAAAATAAATTAATAAGCCAGAAGTGGCCGAGAAGATAACACAACTAAATACTGGTAGTTAGGTCGAGACCGACCAACAGACGGGCCACGTGTAGTTTCCGGGTTCCTTCACGTGTCTTAACATCTAAATAGGAGCCAGTTTCCCATCCCCCTCGGCAGATCATTCACGTGTTGCGTTGCCTTATTCCGTGGACCCAACCTAAAATAAATTAATATAACATGGAGAATTTCCGAGGAAAATTGAAAAATAGTGCCATTTTCCCCTCTTTAATTCATAAAAGTATAATTAATTTAATAATGAATCGTGTTGAAAGAATAGTAAACAAATTTAATCCATCTCTAATCAAATCTCTTCTAATTCATCGTCTAATTAATTTGTCAATGTTGTGATTCTCTAAGGGTCTTCTTAATGACTTTGGGACTGCTGTGTAGACGTTAATTACATCACAAATTAATTATAACCTTTGTAATTCCAAGCAGATCTTTAACTACTGTATATTTCATACCAATTTCTTAATTAATGTCACTGATAAAAATGTGAATTTGCAACTCTAAAATCTATATTTTTTATAAAAATAAAATGCTAAATAAATTTAATAAAAATCAAAAAATATTCTCAAATTTTCAAATTAATAAATTCTTTAGAAAAATCTATTAAAATTGTTATACATTTTTGCCCTTGTTCTTGCTTCATTCTGAAAGTTTTAATGATATATAATGAGAAATATCGGTAATAGAAATAAAATAGAATTTCTGAGAAACGTTAAATCAAATTGAAAGTAATTTCATGTATGTACTGTATGTGTGGAAATGTGGAAATCTGTAAAAAGATATACGGTAAAATAACCCGTTTCCTGTAAAATTAAAACGTTGATTTTTCAAGGAAACGTGTCTTAAATATCGTTGTAAATATTCAAAAAAAATCAATTAAAATCTTGTAAATTTGTATTAAAATATACTTATTATGCATTATTTATGTATTCAGTAAAGCCAGGTGGAGGTTTTGCGGGCCTCCAGAAACAGGCCTCTTCAATTATTAACTCCAGAAATTAGTCAGGCCCAAAAATATTTGCAAATAAATTCTAATCAAATTTGTAAGTGCGAGGCTCTTCAGAGCTCGAGGCCTCTAACTTGGCCCTGTTATTCAGTAATAATTACTAAACACTCGCTTATTGAAATACAGTATTTTCTAAATTTGAATTTTAATGTAGTAAATTTACGTGAGAAATCAGTTAATTACAAGCTAAACTACATTACTTAATTGGATTTCACTTTTAATATAAGCAATTAAATAATTCTACGACGTTTTTCTATCTTAATTTAATTATTAACATCATTAGTTATTCTTCGAAGTCATTAAAAATGACTTCTGTAAAGTCATGTTTAATGGCTAAATATATATTAAATCGTTCGGATGTTTATCGTTAATTAGCAATCTGTATGTACTCCGAACAATGAGATTGATGTAAGAGATTGCCTAACTGATTATTAGGCATTAAGTTGTTTTCTTTAATGTTTAAATATCATTAAATATCATGCCTATTATAAGGGACAAGGTCAGAATAAAAATCGATTAACGTTATTCAAGATTTAGTTTCTACTGGACTAACAATATCCGATTCAATTACTTTACTTATTAACTTTTATAAATAGGATAAGTTCAAATTTAATTTTTATCATATTTTTACTTTCCTGTCTGTTATATATAATGGAATAAAAGGAGGGGACCATCGGTCAAAAAATGGTCCCCTCCTTTAAGGTTTTTATATTATTGGACTCAGTAGGTCTTGAAATGTCCAGAAATGCAAAAAAAATTCGAGGTTTTTCTCTGTATGTACGGACGTTAGTGTATTTGTTATAGGGGACACGATTTTATTCACCCACTTTAAAGCTTAATAACTCCTGTGTATTTTGTCGAAATTTTCTGAAATTTTGTAGAGAGATTTATATATTAGGGGCATTGATTCTATTAAATTTTGATGATTAGAGGTCGGGAGGGAGAGGAGATAACGAAAGTCACGTGTTATATCTCGATTAGGGTCGGATTTAATGAAGATTTCCCGCGTTATTATCACTTACAATTTTTTTCTGTTTGATAAAACTCATCTGTATCCTCAAAATTAAGAGTTTTTCTACTTTATAATAATATAATATAAAAACGTTTTTAAATAACAGATGATGCCACATACAATTTTAACTTTTTTGCTGGGAAAGTTACGCAACTCGTTGCTAGATTTTTTTGTGTACAGATGAAGTTTAACTGTTGAGATATTAATAATATCAATACATAAGCTTTAGATTATTTAATAAGCAATTTACATGGTTATTAATGGATCCAAATCGTTCTTCCTGTTCGAGGAAGCGATTATAATGTATTAAAATAGTAGCCATTCTTAGAGATGAAAAAAAAAATTTAATCTACTTAAAGTTTATAAAGAATAATTTGTTTAATTGTAAAGATATTCTCGATTATATTAAGGTGAAAACTGTTATAGAACGGGGAAAGCGTTGTGTTTTCAACAGTGCGTGTAAAAAGGTCACGACATAAATCATGATGCGGAAAGGATAACAAAAATAAAAATGAGAATAACACTTTCATTCAAGAAGAATCGTGAAAATAATTTAGGTAATTAATATTTTATTTCTGAGATGTTTTCTAGGATATAACCATGTCGTTGTCATCATATTTTTATTTATAAAACATCTATAAAAGAANAATTACTTTACTTATTAACTTTTATAAATAGGATAAGTTCAAATTTAATTTTTATCATATTTTTACTTTCCTGTCTGTTATATATAATGGAATAAAAGGAGGGGACCATCGGTCAAAAAATGGTCCCCTCCTTTAAGGTTTTTATATTATTGGACTCAGTAGGTCTTGAAATGTCCAGAAATGCAAAAAAAATTCGAGGTTTTTCTCTGTATGTACGGACGTTAGTGTATTTGTTATAGGGGACACGATTTTATTCACCCACTTTAAAGCTTAATAACTCCTGTGTATTTTGTCGAAATTTTCTGAAATTTTGTAGAGAGATTTATATATTAGGGGCATTGATTCTATTAAATTTTGATGATTAGAGGTC